TATTAGACTTTCCTACTATCACGGAGGAGGATGCTAGTTGGTTAGAGAGATCATTTGCAGAAGATGAAATCAAGGATGTAGTTTTCAAAATGAATGATGATAAAGCACTAGGACCAAATGGCGTCTCGTTCGCATTTTACAAGGTTTGTTGGGAGGTGGTGGGACAGGATATTATAGATGTTCTAACTTATTTTTTTGAGTATGGCAGGTTTTGAAAAGTTCTAACGCTACATTTATTGTGCTGATTTCAAATAAATCGGGAGCAATTAACATTAAGGATTTTCGTCTTATTAGCTTAGTTAGTGGGGTGTACAAGATTATCGCAAAGATCTTGGCGAATAGATTGAAGGAGGTGCTGGGGAAATTGGTGACCAAGTGTTGAATGCTTTTGTGAAAAGAAGACAAATTTTGGATTCTGTGCTTATAGCGAATGAATGCTTTGACTCTAGATTGCGTTCGGGGATGCCAAGAATATTATGTAAACTTGATATTCAAAAGGCTTATGATCACGTGAATTGGGGGTTCCTTTTGCACATGCTCAGGCGATGTGGTTTTGGGGAAAAGTGGTGTAAGTGGATTTAATTCTGTATCTGTACTGTTTTATTCTCAATTTTGGTCAATGGTAACCCAGAAGGTTATTTTCGAAGCAGTAGAGATTTGAGGCAAGAGGATCCCTTGTCTCCGTTGCTGTTTGTGATTATCATGGAGGCAATTAGTAGGATGCTTGAGAAAGCTGTGGGAAAATGATTGATGAGGGGCTTTACAGTTGGACACTTATAGGTTTCCTATTTGCTATTTACATATGATACATTGATTCTTTGCAATGCAGATGATGAGCAATTCGGGAACTTGCGTCGACTACTATGCTTTGAGGTGTTGTCGGGATTGAAGATTAATTAGGGAAATCTGAGGCGGAGAGGTTGCTAATGTGGATGAGTTGGCCAATATATTGGGTTGTACGGTTTTGCAGTTTCTCAAGTCATACCTTGGACTCCCTTTAGGGGCACGGCTTAAAAGTAAACATATTTGGAATGAAATTATCGAAAGGGTAGAGAAGAAGTTAGCAGGGTGGAAGCGTATGTGCCTTTCGAAGAGAGGCCGCCTTACTCTCATTAAATCTACTTTGTCTAATCTCCCAACTTATTTCTTATTACTGTTTTCTATTCCTGTTATAGTGGCAAATAGATTAGAAAGGATTCAAAGGGAGTCTCTTTGGGCAGGGCTAGGGGAAGAGAGAATTTCATTTGGTTAATTGGCGTGTGGTTTGTTCTCCTGTAAAGATGGGGGGCTTTGGATTGAGGAGCCTTGTTCTATTTAATAAGGCTCTACTAGGCAAGTGGTTGTGGCAATTTGGAGTGGAGATGGAGAGTTTTTGGAGACAATTCATAAGAGCGTAGTATGGTGTGATGGATGGGGTTGGTGCTCGATCGAGGGTCATGAATCTTATGGGGTGAGTTTGTGGAAGTATATCCGACGAGGATGGAATGACTTTTGAGAGAATTTGACTTATGTGGTGGGGATTGGCAATCGTATCAGATTTTAGGATGATTGTTGGTGTGGAGATCATCCGCTAAAGGCACGGTTTCCTTCTTTGCATCGCATTACTTTGGAGCCTTCCGCTATGGTGAATGATATACTAGCCATACATAATGGAAGTTACAACTGGAATATTGCTTTTGAGAGGGGTTTACAGTATTGGGAATTGGATGATTATGCACTGTTTTTAACCTCCTTGCATGAGGCGCATATTTAGGTAGGAGAGAGTGATCGGAGCAGGTGGAAGTTGGCACGTGATGGTATTTTTTCAGTTCGCACTTATTTTAGATTCATATTGAAACCAGTGGAGAGTTCATTTCCCTAGAAGATGGTGTGGCAATGTAAATTGCTTCCACGAGTGGCTTTCTTATTATGGACGGTTGTGAGGGGGCATGCATTAATGGTGGATAATCTCCGAAGAAAAGGTTTTTATATTACCGAATGGTTTTATTTGTGCAAGAGAGATGGGGGGAAACGATTGACCATTTTTTCATCCATTGTGATGGTGTTCGGTGGTTGTGGAACGATATTCTAGCTTTCCAACATTTGGACTGGGTGTTGCCTAGGCCCATAGAAGACGTGTTGCGGGTATGGAGGAGAAAATTTCGAGATAAGGTTAGTAGGCCTGCGTGGAATTTTATTCCAGGATGCATTGTATGGTGTGTATGGAGAGAGGAATGACCGTTGTTTCGAAGACCAAACATGAAAAATAGAGCAAATTAGAACATTGTTTTATATGACTTTGTATACTTGGTTTAATGCTGAAGCCACTAATCACATTGAAGGGTTGCTAAATTTTATGTCTTTTTTCTTGTTTAAATTAATAATATACCTCCCATGTATTATCCATTGATTAATAAAATTACTTGATTACTTATTAAAAAAAAAAGAAGAAAAAAGGAAGAACTTGCTAAAAGATGTTGAAGGAACAAATCCTCATCATCTTCCATTGATGATTTGGCTCCCTGGACATAAAAAGATGAGATCCATATGTAAACTTCAGGGGAAGTTTGCAACAAAAAAAAAAAAAAATGATAATTAAGGAAAAAATTAGAGAAGATGCTCATAGGACTTTGAACCTTAAAAGTCTCCAAGGTATTCGATTTATCAAATAAGCTTGTGTCAGAACTTTACTTAATATGATTTAGGTATACTATTTTGAAATTTAGAAATATTATTTCTGAAACTAGGGGGCTCGGGTAACTTATGTAAATACTTTTTAAATGTTTAGCTACTCCGGGGATTGGTGTTTGGTCGATGATCGTGGTTCTTATGGATTGAGTTTGTGGAGGTAAATCTGACGAGGATGGAGTGACTTTTGGGATAGACTGAATTTTGTGGTGGAGAATGGTAATAATATCAGATTTTAAGATGATTGTTGGTGTGGAGATCAACTGCTAAAGTGGGGTTTTCTTGCATTGCATTGCTCTGGTGCCTTCTGTTATGGTGAATGAGGTATTAGCCATTCACAATGGGAGTAACAGTTGGCATATTACTTTTGGCAGGGGTTTAGAGGATTGGGAATTGGATGACCATGCACTGTTTTTGACCTCTTCGCATGATATGTAAATCCAAGTAGGAGAGGGTGATTGTAATAGGTGGAGGTTGGCAAGGGATGATATTTTTCAGTTCGCACTTATTTTAGATCCCTTTTGGGACCTGTGGAGAATTAATTCCTCTGGAAGATGGTTTGGCAATGTAAATTGCCTCCACGGATAGCATTTTGCCCGTTAACGGTTGTAAGGGGATAGGTGTCAACGGTGGATAATCTTTAGAGAAAAAGGCTTTAGGTAATGTAGTGGTGTTATATGTGTAAGAGGGATAGGGAGATGAATGACTACTTGCTCATTCATTGTGATGGTGTTTGTTGGCTATGGAACAGTATCTAGTTCCTCAACATATGATTTGGTGTTGCCTAGGCGTATAGGGGATGTGTTGCGGGCATGAAGCTGAAAACTTCTTTATAAGGATAGCAAGCTTGTATATGATCTTATTCCATGATGAATTGTATAGTGTGTGTGGAGGGAAAGGAACAACCGCTATTTTGAAGACCAAACACGGAAGACAGTAGAGCAGAGAACTGTTTTATTAATACTTTGGTTACTAGTCTTATGGAAAGGTTGCCTAATTTCACATTCTTCCTTGCTTAAAAGTGATTATACACTTAATGTGTATTCGCTTTTGATTAATAAAAATTATCTAATTACCTATAAAAAATGTTTGGCTACTCAATTTTGTTGTGGGGAATTCACACAAGATGATTTGAAGGATAATACCTTCGTTTTAGAAAGCGTGCGACAATTTTGATTGAAATAATTCCTTACATTGTCAATAAACGAGATGAACTACTTTGCTCTGAAAACATTGGAATTTTAGATGGTCCCCAATTATCATAATGAATCTAATAAAATGGAGTGGATTACCTTGTATTTCTCAAGAGAGGGAGGGAGAGCAAAATACAGTACTTTGGGTAGAAAGTTGCATTGTAATTTGAATCCGTGATGTTAGAAGTCAACATAATTTATGGACATGTAACATATTTGAATCCGTTCGATGCGCTACGCTCCCTCACTTCACTCTGCTCTGCTCTGCTCCGGCATAGATCTATTTGATCCAAGGAACCTATGTTCCACTTTATATGAGCTACATACACAACAAATTTTGACTCTTTTTTTGACATGCCCAAGTCAATGACACAAGACTGTTGTGGAGCATTTTTGCGGCGCAAAGAGGATGAGAAACATGATGCGTATTTGTGTGAGGCAATAAACATGATAATTGATTTTATGAAGGAGCTAGGAGATTTTTCAGAATCCTTATCTCCTCCTCGTTATATCCTCTACCCTAAAACTGTTGGAGCTTTGTTGGGTTTGTGATGACCATATTTTAATAATTGAAGCAGCAATATTTGTTTCCGATGCTTCAGATATGTTTGATCGGGGGTATGAAGTGTAGGAGGAATGCTATATTGGGCAATCAAGTCCTGTGAGTGATAGAAGTTTTTCAGCAATGCAGGCTGTAGAGTTTCAGAGTTTTTCCTCTGATACCATGTGGAGAAAAATGATTCCACTATTTTGAATGATGGGTACAAGCTAATTTACACAAAAATACAATATTATTTCTAAGGAAAGCTGACTATTCTGTTAATCTCTTCTATCCTCCTCAATCCCCTTCTAATCGGCCCCCTACATCAATTCTCACTAATCACTCGATCAATCCCTACAAATCAAGATTAGTCAAACAAATAATCTAAACTAGGAAAGTATCCTATTTTTTAAACTATTATTATATGTTAAATGTAGATTCTCTAACATGACTTGATATCTCTTTGTTGCATGGTGTTAAAATCTATTTCTTTTTACTTACAACGTGTCTTGCATGCGAAGTTCTATAAATTTCCTGTGAAATAGGTATCTATCCGACTCCAGTATTTCTCTTTGATTCTTTATGTTAATGTTGTGCAGTTATCTCGGATTATTTACCTTTTCTCTAGCAACATGCATGATGCCTCACTGTCGCTCAGCATTCACACTACCTGTGCTCGGTTAATGTTGAACCTGGTAGAGATACAAACTATTCTTTTTAGAACCTAAACTTATTTTATGCATTATGACTTGCAGTATTTATTTATTCTAATTACATAGGTGGAACCCATTTTTGAGAAGGGTACTGATCATTCTTCGATGGATGAAGCACGTATTTTGTTGGTAATATGTTACTCCTGGATGCCTTTTTTTTCAATTTCTTGAAGAGCTTCTCATGATTGGTTATATTGTGCTGGGTGGATTGTTGTTATGGGAAACTTATGCACCTTTTTTCTAGGGCCGAATTTTGGACGCATTTGTTGGAAAGTTTAACACCTTTAAGCGCACTATTCCTCAGGTACTTGAATTTTATAGCAAATTCTGTAATATGCTGACTTCATAGAGTTTGGGTATCATTGGCAGTTCTTTTTGTAGTGGGGACGTGCGAAGACTTCTATTGTTGTTTATGAATGCCTCATGATTCTTGACTTGTTACATTTTTATCCATTTTTGTTTTAGACTAGAGGTGTCAAAATGGGCTTGCCGGTGGCGTGTTCGAACTAGCACCGGCCGGATACTGTTACTGAACTGTCCATATGGGTCATCGGGCCGATTCATAACCAGCCCGTAAAAATTATATAAGCCTTTTGACCATCCGTTGACCCATAAATTTTATTTTATTTTATTTTATCTTATTTTTGAATATTAATGAAAGTCTGCCTTAAAAAAGGCAGAAATTCAATTTTTTTTTTTTATCTTTTTAAATAATAATGATTTTTTTCATTTTTTAAATATTAATGGGCCCAGTGGTTAACCATCAGGCCCAATCATGTTAATTAGCCTGGACCGAATTTCATATTTACTTACCGATGAACCTGCCTGCATGAATTACAGGCCATGTCAATCCCGCCCGTTTGACACTACGATTTTTTAGGCATTATTTGTTTTCTTCATTTCAAAAGAGGAAGAATTTCTACTCTTTCAACACTGAATAGGGAGTACAACACAGACCTTAGCAGCTTGCCTTGTTTTAGGTGGCAATACCAACGAGATACTCTTTTATTGAAGCTAGGATCATCAAAATGCAGAAATATTCTCCTCCAACTCTGTTGTCTATTCTGCGGTCAAAGTTTGCAACTAGGGAGCATTTCCAATATTTTATTTAAAGCAGTGGCACTGTCGCTTTTTCTTTATGGCTGATATGTAGAATCATCAGAGTAATCAAAGAGTGGAGAAATTTGGGTTGTGTAATCGCTGGTGTTTTGGTTCTTCTTCTTATAGTAATATTAATTAATATGTCATGATAGATAAGGAGCTGAAAACTAGTCTGCAGAGGTCTTCTTGAGATGTGCAATTCTTCTTGGACAGGAGAATATATTCTCTGTTCATCCAATTGTGGGCTTTTGGTAGGACCCAACAGACAAGTAACATGAATTTGGGTCGATGTTAGTGGTCTCATACATGGTGAGCATCATGCGTGGGTAGAACCAAGCAGTACACAGCAACAGTAATCCCTATTATCCCAATCCACCCCTTCACTCAGATAATGACCATTTATGTACTTATTTCCACAGTGATCCAGTGATTCCTTTTTTTCTTTGCGTTTATTCAAGATAGCATGGATACAGACCTATTACTACATTCGTGGATTAAACTTAAGTAAAAAAAGGAGCCTATTATGCGTGCCTTGTATGTATCTGTCTTGGTCATGCCCAAGTATGACATTGTACATGCATCCCATCTATATCTTCCTTATTTGTGAACTACATCATAGTGCTTAGGTACTCTTCGATGCAACAGGGATGAGAGGATTTGTTGTCATACATCGGTCCTAGCTGAAGATAGCAATTTTGCTTGCATAGCAGGCCTTTTTTTCCATAGGTAATTTCGCCAAGTGTATCATTTGATTTGGTTCCCCCGGAAGGGACTTGAAGTGAAAGGTGACCATCTTTTGCAATCGCTGTACCACCAAAACTTTGAACCTTGGATCATTTGTCTTACCTAGGCTGCTGGCATGTAATTCATCCTTTAAAATATACTCTTTCCTCTAATATAACCTCGTTCCTCATTCTGATTAAAAAGGTAGATTTATTTTAAGAAGATCATTTGATTTACCCTCTCTCTTTTTTTTTTTTTTTTAAGTCATTGAAGCTGTCCGATAGTGTTACTATCACAAGAGTTCAATTCTCTAAAATGTAATCAATTCAAATATACATATGTATGTTATTATCCTTCTCTCCTTTTCCAAAGCCAGAAATAGATAATGGCATCATATATTTGTTTTCTTGATTGAGAGAAAGCTAACTAGCTGCTTTTTTCCCCTGGTATCTGCTTCATTTGTTGCTGCTTCTCTGTTGCCTGTGGAATGCCCCTACTAGTTTAGTAAAGTAAAGAACTTGACTATAGAAGATTAATCTAGCATTAGGCTTCTCAAATCAGCTGTATGTTTCTTACTTAATATGAATTATGCTACTCTTTTGAGCTGTTTTGTTTCATTTGGGTGATAGCTACTGGAAGAGGGAGAGGAGGGAAGAAACCGATCTAGCTTGAAGTCAAAACTTGAAGTCCCAGTACAGGTAACTTTGATCTTTGCTTGTTTTCATTGTCTTTAGTCCATATCTGCATCTTCTTAAGTTGCTAGTAAGCTTCCTTTTTTATGTATTATATCTGTTCTTTAATGGACAGCAAACCATTTTTATTATACAAGTAATTATAGTTTTTGGCTACCATTTCAGCAAGCTTTTTTTTTGGGATCAGATTTTGATGTCCAATCAATGTTTATATTTGCTTTTTACATGAGTTGTCTTTAGTAAATTTCTTCTCATGGAAGGTTTTTCTTATTTTCTGCTGATTTTTGCTGTTTGTCGCATGCAACAATTTGGTAGTTGACTAGCAATTATGTTTCACAATACCATTTTGTTTAATTTGTTCATGGTAGGTGCTATATGTGCTGAAGTTTGCTTTAAATAAGAATTTATAGGCAATGTTACCTCTCTTGCATAGAAATATATGCAACAAAGTTTGCTTTAGATGGGATATTTCAAGAAAACATTAACCTCTAACATAAATTTAGTACCACAACTTACTTTTGGTTCACAGAAGAGTTATGATAATCATAGAAGAATTCTATTTTGTTTTCTATCCTTTTTTATGTTTTACTGATTGTATTGGCTAGAATTTTAGTTTATAGAATTAGTGTAGTGTTCTTTCTGTTTACATTTCATTTAATATGTTCAAACAAGACATTTTCTTCTATTTGCTTAGAGCATCTCTAAGATTCTCTCTATTTATTAAGAGCATTTTATGCACATAGTAAAGAGTATATTTAAATTTAGATTGAAATTTTTACACACTCCAATAATGCTCTATATTTTGGCTCTTCATTTTGCATTTTTCAATAAATGTTTATTGATTTCTTTTATGTGATTGACCAATCAATTCAAATATGATTTGATTAATTTTGTTATGAAGTATTGGAATCTGTAGCTTATTAAATGGAATCATTATAAAGTAATTGGAGAACCAGCATCATTCTCTATTTTAAAAAGTTAAAATAGAGCATCTCTTGGACTTTATTTTTAAGCGTCGACTCTCTAAAATAGAGAGTATCTTGTATTCGGAGAGTTTCTTGGAGATGCTATTAGACCTTAACAATGTGTTGAACTTACAAGACCTGTGAGCCTCTGGAAAGATTAGCATGCATATATTGTCAGGGAATTCTTCTTCATTTTAATCTGTGAAACTTCACAAGATTGTGTCAACCACTGTAAAGTGGAACTGTGGCATGTATGACTATAAAATGGAATTCGAAGTTTAGAATTCTCCTTGCAAAATTTCCTCCAAATTGAATGACATACTTCAACATGAAATGATCTTGGGGGACTCTCTAACTTCCGATGTATGGGTTTAAAAGTGGAATTATTTAAATGATGCTTCATGCTTGTTCACAAATATATAACAAAAGTAACATTCTGGGTAAGTGTGCATTCTAGTGGGACATCTTAAAAAGGAAATGAACATGCTGTTGGGGGAGGAAGTGATAAGATCTTCATCACTGTTGTTGTATGTAACGACCCAAAAATTTTAAATTCGTATCGTTGCCAAAATTTTCTTTAAAGGAATTTAAAGTGACCGTTAACTAGATATCAATTTATTTATTTATTTATTTTGGTGGTTTACTCAAAGTAAAAATTTAATACTCATTATTAACAAAAGGAGAGAATAACGATGTATCTACTCCATATTTTATTCTTATATTTTTTCAGAAGGATACAATTAAAATTTATATCTAAAATTTGAATTCCCATACTAGACATATATTTAATGTATGGATATTAGTCAACTATGTTTAAAATCTTCATTTGCCGTGTAGTACCCAAAAGAGACAATGAAAGCATGATGTGACAATTGAGGAATCATTGTTTTGACCGTAACTTCACATAAATTCTGGGAAGGTCACGAAAATACATAAAATTACTCCTTCACACGAACAAGGCAGTAAAATATAACAAATTACTTTTAAACAGTGAATACATGCAATTATTTCGTTTTATTTTAAATAATTAATTCTAAATAAAATTTTGCTTGCATGAATATAAGATTGCACTAAAGGAAAATCAAATAATTTGATTCAAACTTTTAAATAACCACACAATTTAAAAATATCCATGTAGCAAATAAACATAAACGATATTTAGTGTTAAAATAAATGTCTATGGCAAATAAATAAAATTAATTGCTAAAATTCTAAATTTTCGTCTAGCAAGACGAGGCACAACCACACCATCGAAAGTCGGAGGCTTGTACCTACGAAATTGCTTAACCACTGAGACGGCTCTTGGGACAAATGGAGGTGTATTTTGCTGTGGTGGTGCTTGGCTCTGTCTGCTCAATTCTTGTACCGCTTATAGTAAATCGCGCATCAAGTTTGTGTGAGTAGGTGGTGCCATTTCCTAAAATTTAATTTGAAGTTTTCGATCACATTTTTTGTATGCATATCATAAATTTAACGAAAAATAACCCTAAAAAATTTAAAAATATGCAATTTAAAATATTTAAATCATGTAAAATGTCTAAGTACATTCATATTCTTACCCCTTTTTGCATACCTTAGGGTCATCGGGGCGTGATCGATTGGTGATCGTTGAGTGCCAAAGATCATTCATTCATATATTTAATAACTTTAAATTATCATTATCGTTAAATTCATAAATCTTTAGAAAAATATTAACCTTTAACAAATATTATGCAATGAAACAAATAAACATTTTATTACACGTAACATTTAAAACGTGTAAAATTCAATGTTTATCATCAAAATTTTATTATTATTATTATTATTATTATTATTATTATTATTATTATTATTATTATTATTATTATTCTTGTTATTTATTTATTATTAAATTCTCGTGCGTGTTTATTTGCATAGGAATACATGCGGTTGCGTTTTAAATAAAATTTGAATTAAATGTTATTCCTTTTATTGATTTTCCTGTTTAAAAGGAGTTGATTATAATTTTACTGTCATATTCATGTCAAGGATTTTTGTACTTTTCTGTGGTATTATTAGCTAGCAGTAAATGCAATTTTTCCCATAGTTTATGACACATGGTCAAAACAATTGTCACATCACTTTCCATTTGTTTCTCTTGGATGCCCAACATGTAAAATTTGAGATTTAAACAATGGTGGTTGAATAGCATTTCCATGCATGTCAAATTAATGAAACGACAATAATAATATTAAATTGGTGAAGTTGATGTCATATTTTTACTCACCTCAAAGGAATAAATATAATATGCCTTATTATCATTATTTTACATTGAGTTAGAAAAAAAAATATGGTTAGTTAATATTTTGTGCATACTATTTCTATTTTATCTATAGAGATTTTCATAACATTTAAGTAGTTGATTATTTTAAGAGAAAATATTCTAACGGTATGAAATTTACAAATTTAGTTGCCAGAAATCCTACTTTATTTGACTTTTAAGGATGTGCTAGTTAGAAATTTAAATTTATGAGCCATAAGTGGTTTAAAATAACATTGACCATTTTATAAATAAATAAAATTTTTGGGTAGCGATTCAAATCCTTAATTTTTGGGTCATTACAGTTTGGTCACTGTTCAACTTTGAACAATGGCACTGTTCACGTGAACAGTCTTAAAAAAAATGGTGATTGTTTAAATAGTGTGTGTGTGTATTATTTATATTTGTAGACATTCTAGAAATACTTTCCTTAGAATAAATTTTATGTTTAGCCACAATAATCACTATATTATTTAGTTATTAGATTTTTCAAATGGGTGAAATTTTATAATAGTCCATGCACTAGTATGTGATATTTTCTAGTAACTAAAATTTCGATGTAATCCCTATGTTAAAAAAAAATCAAATTCTTTTCAATGAAATTTCGGGACATTACATTGTATGCTTGCTGTGGAAGGTAGGTATTACTGGTTTAACTAGGGCAAATAAAGAAGTTTTCATATAAGGATTCACATCTTTTACATTTTCTTGTGGTATTCACATTAATATAATTGAAGTTTTTCCCCATTATTATTGGACCTTTTCAAAAATAGCTTGCCAGTAGCTGGTAGACAGTATGGGTTTACCTGGAAATATCTTGGCTATCACTCCATGTATATTTGTTACTTTTTGGTTTCCTTAATTAACTTTTATGCCCGTTTTTGATAATGAACTAAATTGCAACAGGCCGTCCTTAATTTGTCAGTCCCTGTGGAGCATTCCAAGGAAGTCAATGACTATAAGCATCTGATAAAGACCTTAGTTATGGGTAATTATCCCTTGTCCATTCTTTCATTTTCCATAATTGGAAAACAGGAATATTAAATTTTCGATAAATAAAAAATGGCACCCTTCATAAATAAAAATTTGATACATATATCATTGTTAACTTAGACCAGTATACGTTGTCTTTATGATTATTGTGTTGTGACCATGATTTCAGGAATGAAGACAATTATTTGGAGCATTACTCATGCTCATATACCCCGGTCACAGGTTTGTGAGATATTCTTACTGTCAAAATTAGGTGCGAAGTCTAGTTTGATTTCATCTGCATTTTAATAATTTAGGTTTCAACTTCCATAAATGGGACAACTCAGCAAGGGCTCACTTCGACATCATCAAGTTCGTCAATACCTCTACAGTCTAAAGGGATGAGAGAAGATGAGGTATCACTGAGTGCATTATCTGCTTACACTTCAATAGTGGCCATTGACTGAATTTGGGAGTGTTCATAGGTTTGGAAAGCTTCTGGTGTTTTGAAGAGTGGTGTGCACTGCATGGCGCTGTTCAAGGAGAAAGACGAGGAGAGGGAAATGGCCCTTCTCTTTTCCAATATTTTGGCCATAATGGAACCACGAGATTTAATGGACATGTTTTCCTTGTGCATGCCAGAGCTGTTTGAGTGCATGATTTCCAATGCTCAGCTAGTGCACATCTTTTCCACCCTACTGCAAACCCCTAAAGTATTTCGTCCATTTGCAGATGTGTTAGTTAATTTTCTTGTGAGCAGCAAACTTGAGGTTCTGAAGCACCCTGATTCACCAGCTGCAAAACTTGTTTTGCATCTCTTCCAGTTTTTGTTTGGTGCCATTGTGAAGGCTCCTTCAGAATGTGAACGTATACTGCAACCTCATGTTCCTGTGATGATGGAAACTTGCATGAAAAATGCTACTGAGGTTGAGAGATCTATTGGTTATTTACAACTTCTTCAGATGATGTTTCGCGCACTTGGTGGAGGTAAGTTTGAACTTCTACTGCGGGACTTGATTCCTTCACTGCAATCTTGTCTGAATATGTTGTTGGCCATGCTTGAGGGACCTACTGGTGAAGAAATGAAGGAGCTTCTGCTTGAACTTTGCTTGACGTTGCCTGCACGGTTAAGTTCATTGTTACCTCACCTTCCTTGTTTAATGAAGCCTCTTGTTATGTGTCTCAAAGGGACTGATGATCTTGTCAGTCTTGGTTTGAGGACTCTTGAGTTTTGGATTGATAGCTTGAACCCTGATTTTCTGGAACCAAGTATGGCAAACGTTACTTCCGAGGTGATTTTGACGTTGTGGTCTCATTTGAGGCCTGCACCCTATCCTTGGGGGGGGAAATCATTACAACTTCTTGGCAAATTAGGTGGTCGTAACAGACGTTTTCTCAAAGAGCCTCTGGCACTTGAATGCAAAGAAAATCCAGAGCATGGACTTCGATTAATCCTGACATTTGAGCCTTCAACTCCATTTTTGGTTCCTTTAGATCGTTGTATTAGCCTTGCTGTGGTAGCTGTCATGCACAAGAACGGTTCCGTGGATGCTTTCTATCGGAAACAAGCTCTAAAATTTCTTCGTGTTTGCTTATCATCTCAGCTCAATTTGCCTGGACTAGTGACTGATGATGGTTCTACATCTAGACAACTGTCAATGTTTCTAGTTTCTTCAGTTGATCCATCTTGGAGGAGATCTGAGACGTCTGATGTCAAGGTGGTTTTACCATAATTTAACTTCACAAGCTTCTGTTTTTTACACCAGTTATATCTTCCCTCTAAAGTTGTATTGCTTTTGATGGCTTTCTACTTACTCATCTTTTTTTATATGTCAGCTTTCTCAAATGTCAGTCTTCACCACCATCAGTATCTATGGTATACAATAAGTAAAATGAGGCATTATTGTTCTGTTTATGGTGGAGTTTTTAGATTTTTCTGGTACCAAAATGCTGATTTAGCCTGAGAGTTATCTCTTTAAGCCTTCACATCTTTAAATTCATATTTCGTTGGCCTAAGCTTGCTGTATCTTCTTAACGCGTAAAAATATATTTTTACACAATTATAGAGTTATCTGATTTAAGTTTACATTTTTTCCAAATGTGTTAAATGTTGTTGTTTGTTGAATTTTAGAACTGTCAGATGAGTTTTATGATTATATGTAGCTGTATGAGATGATATGATAACAAGGGTTACTAGCTCTATTTGGTGATGATAATTGTTGCCATAAATGGGTTACAACCATTTTGTGCAGGCTGACTTGGGTGTCAAGACAAAGACCCAACTTATGGCTGAGATATCCGTGTTCAAGATTCTGTTGATGACCATAATAGCTGCAAGTGAGGAGCCGGACTTACATGACCCCAAAGATGATTATGTTGTCCATATCTGTCACCATTTTGCTATGATATTTCACGTTGAGAGCCCGACAGGCCTTACTTCGATTTCAGTCTCATCACTTGGTGGTCCTGTGCTTCCAACCAATTCCAATGTTAGTTCTAAGCCAAGAAATAGTATTTCACTGAAAGAGTTGGATCCTTTGGTCTTTTTAGATGCTTTGGTTGAAGTACTAGCAGATGAAAATAGACTGCACGCTAAAGCTGCTCTAAATGCGCTCAATGTTTTTGCTGAGACACTTCTGTTCCTTGCTCGCTCTAAACATCCTGACATGCTCGTGTCTCGAGGAGGTCCTGGAACTCCTATGGTTGTCTCCAGTCCTTCAATCAGTCCAGTTTATTCACCTCCTCCAAGCGTGCGACTTCCTGTTTTTGAGCAACTTCTACCGCGGCTTCTGCATTGTTGTTATGGAAGCACCTGGCAATCACAAATAGGAGGAGTTATGGGACTTGGTGCTTTGATTGGAAAGGTCACTGTTGAAACTTTATGCCTTTTTCAAGTACGTATTGTTCGGGGACTGGTTTATGTTCTTAAAAGGCTTCCTACATATACTACTAAAGAACAGGAAGAGACAAGTCAGGTGCTTACGCAAGTTCTTCGTGTAGTGAATAATGTTGACGATGCAAACAGTGAAGCACGTAGACAAAGTTTTCAAGGAGTTGTTGGATATCTAGCTTCAGAATTGTTTAATGCAAACTCATCTGTTAATGTGAGAAAGACTGTGCAATCTTGTTTAGCACTTTTGGCAAGTAGGACTGGTAGTGAAGTTTCTGAATTGCTTGAACCTTTGTATCAACCTTTGCTACAGCCTCTTATCATGCGATCCCTGCGATCCAAGACCGTGGATCAACAGGTGAAATTGGTGTTCGTTTGATGTGTCTGGAGGTTTATTAAGTTATTACTAACTTTTCTTATGCAAATTTTAGGTTGGAACAGTTACCGCTTTGAATTTCTGCCTGGCATTGCGGCCTCCTCTTCTTAAATTAACTCAGGAGCTTGTCAATTTTCTGCAAGAAGCTCTGCAAATAGCAGAGGCTGATGAAACTGTGTGGGGTGCGAAATTTATGAATCCAAAAGTGGCGACATCGTTGAATAAATTACGCACAGCTTGCATTGAACTCTTATGCACTGCCATGTCATGGTCTGACTTTAAAACCCAAAATCATTCAGATTTGCGAGCTAAGATCATTTCCATGTTTTTCAAATCCTTGACAAGCAGGACATCTGAAATTGTTGCCGTTGCAAAGGAAGGGCTACGACAGGTTTGCTGTCATTATGTTTAATTCTTTTGTGGTGATACATCTGTTCCTTATTTAAGCTGGACTCTAGCAAACATTTGATTAATTGAATGAAAGTTTTAGAATTTACTGTTTCACTTAGAGGACCTGCTCTTGATTTGCATTCTGATACTCAAGGTCGGATATTTGTGGATCTTGTTTGAGAGAACAGTGTTAGGAAGTCACTTTTCTGTAGGTGGGAAGCAAAGTGCACATATACTTAATCTTTCCGTTCTTATTTCGGCTGGTATGATAATGATTGACTTCATTGTCATGATTTTTGAATTTTACCATCCCATTGCTCATTAAGATCAAAACTGAGTTTGGTAGCTTTCAAATTTCAGTGCATTTATGTGAGTCCATGGTTATCCTATACCCATCAAAAAGGAACTTAGAACAGAAGGAAAACCTTTCTCAACTATTCCTCTCCTAATAAGTTTTTGAGATTTATTGCTGCTTAGTCCCCAGAATTGCTATATACTCTCTTCTATAGAAAGATACGAGTGATGAATGTTAAGCTTAATTGATTTCACAGCATATTGATCTCTACCTAGGTTATGAAATGCTTGGTGATATTTATTTTAAGTGCAGGGCTTGTCCTCTAAAATTTAATTATTGTTTGCTTTACCATGTTTTAGGTTATTCAGCAGCAAAGGATGCCAAAAGAACTTCTGCAGAGCAGTTTGAGGCCTATATTGGTTAACTTGGCACATACCAAAAATCTCAACATGCCTCTCTTACAAGGTCTGGCCCGCCTGCTTGAGCTTCTATCTAACTGGTTCAATGTTACCTTAGGTGGCAAATTGTTGGAGCATCTCAAAAAATGGTTGGATCCTGAGAAACTCGCACAGTGCCAGAAGTCTTGGAAAGCTGGTGAAGAACCAAAAATAGCAGCTGGTTAGATGTGCTCCTTGTACATTATTAGTGACATTCAAACATTAGCTCATGATAATTATATATAGATGTTCTGTTTTGATTCTGTTTGAACTTTTGCAGCTATCATCGAGCTCTTTCATCTGCTTCCTTCTGCAGCTGGGATGTTTCTAGACGAGCTTGTGTCATTGACTATTGATTTGGAAGCTGCCCTTCCACCTGGACAGTTTTATAGCGAGATCAACAGTCCATATCGCCTCCCTCTCACTAAATTTCTTAATCGTTATCCCACAGCTGCTGTCGATTATTTTCTTACTCGATTATCTAATGACAAGTACTTCAGGCGGTAATTAGAAAAGCATTATTGAAACTTTTTCCTAGTTGACTTACAAGTTGCCAGCAGGGAATTTTTTGTTCACATTTCTACCTTTTTTTTTTTTGAATATCCAGGTTTATGTATATAATACGGTCAGATGCTGGCCAACCTTTGAGAGAGGAACTCGCAAAATCACCGGAAAAGATATTAGCTAGTGCTTTCCCTGATTTTTTACCCAAATCTGACGTATCAACAGCTCAGGAATCTTTCAGTTCGCCTGCTGTTTTAATGGGTGATGGCGGCCATATTACTCCTAAAGCCGAGAGTTCTGTTCAGCCAACTACGACTTCAGCTGCAGCATCTGAAGCCTATTTCCAGGGTCTTGCTTTAATCAAGACTCTTGTAAAATTGATGCCTGGCTGGTTGCAAAATAACCGTGTTGTATTTGACACATTGGTTCTCATATGGAAGTCCCCAGCCAGAATTTCCCGTTTGCAAAATGAGCAGGAATTAAACCTAGTGCAAGTAAGTTAAATGGACGTCTAAGTAAATATCACTAGATTTGTTTACATCCTGTTATAGGTAGCTTACTATGAACCACTCTGCAAATTTTCTACCGTTATTTGTTATGCTTTTTCCCTTCAATACATCTGGTTTTACTTCCTAAATCTACGGAATGAATCATTTCTTTTTCTCTATTAGTTATAGATATGACATTTGCTTCTAATTTTTACACCTGATAAACAATTTTAAGATTTGACCTCTCTTTTTTGTAAGATTTAACAGCTCACACTGCAAGGATGCAGTGTGATTTAGTATTTTACTTTCTATCCTTGTTTATACCAGCTCCTTCTTTTCTTTTCCTTGCTGCTTTCTCTAAGCTGGAGTACAAGAGCTATATGTGACAAATGGACATATATATTAACTCATACTCACAGGAAAATAGAAAAACACAGAAAGGGATACTTTCTTTATATTCTCTTCCCTTTCTCCTCTCATTTAGAGTATTGACGGAAGCAGTGAAATACTTTGCAACTGGTCCAATCAGGAAGTTCTCTTAGAAGGCCTTTCTGAAATTCTCACTTCAATATTGATTTCACGAAAGTTCTATGTTGGGCTATTGTGAAATGATTTTTCCATTTTTATTTTCCGATGGATTTATTTAGTCACACGTGTAATTAACTTTACCCGATGGAAGTATGAAAAATTAAGAAATGTTTCTTTTTCAGAATTTGGTTTTCTGATTTTCAAGATCCATTCCCCATTTTATCCATGAAAAGTCCTCTGAGGCATGATCTTCTCTCAAAGTCCTACAGGAAACAAATCTAAATACAGTTACCTTTTAACCATTACAAGACTTCCTGGTCTCTTCAAAATTTTCTCAGAAGGTTGCTTGAAGGAGTTTGCTTCTCTATAAGTTCACGTTTTGCCGTGTTACAGGGAGGAAGAGAAACAAGTTTTCTTCTCTCTCTCTGCTTCATACGCTTGAAGTTATTTTCATTTCGTTAATTCTTATGAATAAGCATCAAACTGATCAAAAGATAATACAGAATTAAAACAGTACGATTAGATAATTTTGTTGAATTTATTCCTCAAATATATAATTTGAAATGAAATATTCAGAATGAAAAGAAATGATTTTGATTTTGGAAATGATCAAATAGCCAATGATAAAAAAAATATTTTGATAAGGATGAACATTCCATTATATCAAATAATAACTTGAAATGCAACAATCAATTAAAATAATTGTGTTTCTTGAATTACTTTGATTCAAAGAGAAGATTCTGGTGGCAATAATTATATAATTATTATCTTTGCGTTATGTTTTAAATTGGAAATGACTTGTAAAGGAGGATGTATACTGATTTTTCCTCTATTGGGAGTAGCAAATTACTCATTAACTATGGTATGCTCGCAGTTTTCTCATATTTATGCTAGGCTATTCAGTTTCATGATATTTCATTATGTAAACTTACTAATGCATTCTAATCATTATGAATAAGTGCAGGTGAAAGAAAGCAAGTGGCTTGTCAAATGTTTTCTGAATTACTTTAGGCATGATAGAACGGAGGTTAATGTGCTATTTGATATTCTATCCATCTTCTTGTTTCGCACGTGTATAGATTTTACTTTCTTAAAGGAGTTCTATATAATTGAGGTACGTTCAAAATTTAAGGTATAATGATTATGTTTGTATATGATTAATTATTTATCTTTCGTCGTCAGTTTCTATTTTTCGATAATGGATTATCAATATTTCTATATAGGTTGCTGAGGGCTATCCACCGAACATGAAAAAAACTCTGCTGCTTCATTTTCTGAACCTTTTTCAAATAAAACAATTAGACCATGATCACATGGTGGTCGTAATGCAAATGCTCATTCTTCCAATGTTAGCTCATGCCTTCCAGAATGGCCAAACTTGGGAGGTCATTGATGCAGCTGCAGTCAAGATAATTGTTGACAAGCTTCTTGACCCTCCAGAGGAGGCAAGTGATTTATTTTATATGTTTTTGGAGTTCCACATTAATGGCTATTATCTTACAAACACTTTCATCACAAGCTGTTGGACGTGGCCATCTCTGTATGGGAATCATGTTTCTTTCATTTGTGTCAATAGGTATCTGCTGACTATGATGAGCCCCTAAGGATTGAGCTTCTACAGCTAGCCACACTGCTTCTCAAGCATCTTCAGAATGATCTTGTTCATCACCGCAAGGAACTCATCAAATTTGGCTGGAATCATCTCAAACGTGAAGACAGTGCCAGTAAGCAGTGGGCTTTTGTTAATGTTTGCCACTTCTTGGAGGCCTACCAAGCTCCTGAGAAAATTATTCTGCAGGTTCTTCGATAATTCTGTAATCATGATATAAGAAATACATTCTGTAATGTTTACCTTCCATTTCAAATTGAAT